AATAAATGCTGATGAGGACATGGGGAAAAAATGTATACTTATACATTTTGTTGGACTGTGAATTAGTTACCACTTTGGAAGGCAGTATGGAGATTCATCAAAAGACTAGGAATGAACTCACCAATCCTACTCCTCAGTATTTATCAAAAAGAACTAAAATCAGCATATTATAGCAATACATGCATACCAGAGCTTATAACAGCATAATTCACCATAGTCAAATCATGGAATTAACCAAGATTGTACATCATTAGACAAATGAATAAAGAAAATGTGATATATATATATATATATATATATATATATATATATATATATGCATGCAAGCAACAGTGTTTTGCTCAGCCCAAAATAAAAGAATAAAATCATGTCATTTGCAAGTAAATGGATGAGAACATCAGTTTAAGTGAAATAAGCCAGACTTTGAAAGTCAAGGGTCAAATGTTTCTTCTCATTTGCATAAGCTAGGGGGAAAAAGGGAATTAAAGAAAGCGGGGGTGGGGGGAATGTCATGAAAACAGAAGGGAGAACAGTGGAAAAGAAGGAGATTGAAGGGAGGAAGGAGGGATGGGAAAGGGGAGGAACTGTAGAATGAAATCGACGAAACTATGTTATGTGCATGGATGAATATATCACAATGAATTAAACTTTTATGTCTAACTATAATGCTACCATTAAAAAGAAATTAATAGAAGGAAGACCAATAGGTTAGAGGAAGGGGATCGGGGGAAGGAGGAGGGGAGGGGAGGGAAAAAAAAACCTGTTCCAGCCTCTACCTGGTACCCAGTTCCAAAGCCACTTCCACATTTTCAGATGTTATAGAAATAGTTCCACTTTTCAGTAACAATTTTCGAGTCCGTTTTATGTGGTTACAACAGAAAAACTGAGACTGAGTATAAAGAACAAAGAATGGTTTGGCTGGTGGTTCCAGAGGCTAGGATGTCCAAGAGCATAGTCTGGACATCTGAGGAGGGTCTTCATGCTGCATCATCCTATAATGGAGGGCGTGAGAGAACAAGAGTGGGCAAGAGAGGGTTCAGCTCATCAGGCACCACCTCCCAACACTGCTGTATTAGGGGTTAAGTTTCCAATTCATGAACTTATGAGACCCATTCGAACTATAATAGAAGAGTTGATTCCAAAGCCTATGCAGAAAAATCCAAATAATACTCAACTAACACAACTGGCTGCAGCCTCCATAATAGGGTTTACAAACTCAATGCCTTCAGTGGTCAGGCCATTAACACAAAGTGGAAAGCTGTGGATATGATGTAACAGGGAGTAATGGGAAGAAGACAGCTTATCTTTCTAAATGAATTAAAACAGATACAACATTGTGCTGGCCACAGAAAACACAGTGACCTTAGGCACCTATGACTCGTCTGGACTGTGTTGATCACTCTTTTCTAGTGAGCTCTACAAAGACTCTTGGGAGCCCTGGATCAACTTGACCCTCAGGAGTCCCTCTTTAGTAGATCAGTCATGTTAATAGGTTTGGCCTGCTACCCCTTCTCCCGGCCTCTACTCAGTCTAGCTCAACAGAAGGATTACTCAACTCTATTACAAACATGTGAAAAATATCTTGGAATAAACATCATTTTCCCTTTCTAATCATGATTGCTTTTAAAGCTGAAGAAACAAAGCCCAAATATCGGGGCCAAGGATAGTGCTATCAAGGGGATTTTCTTTTAATGGTGCAGTCGGCATTGAGGATCTTCTCAGCACAGTTCAACCTACTGTGTTTCGGTTGCCTGGAGTCTTGTAAGTTTTAAATCTGATACAAACAACCCCTGTGATACAAACCACACATTCCCTAATATACCGGAAGTATGATGATGATGAAAACATTTAAAAGTAAAATAGGAGCTAAATAAAGTAGAAATACTTTATAAAGATATGAGGCCAATTTTTATACTTATTTTCATAAACTTGCGAGATTAACAGTGAGTTTCTCAATTTAGACCTGTGATGCTTAACAAGTCTTTCCAAAGTAAGATTAGCTTCCAAATGAACTCATCTGAGAAAATAACAGCCACAACTATGGGTAATTTATTTAAAACAAACAAACAAACCATCTACCCCTCCTCCACTAATTAATAGTCAAAGAAGAGAAAAGTGCCAGTCTGGTCAGTCACAGCCCATTCTGAGTGAAATTTGCTGCTTTAGGTAAAAATGAGACCTAAAAATGAGGTTAACATGGAAGTCCTCTTATAGTCTATGTCATCTTCTTATAGCCCTAACCCTGTGAATTTACTGGAATTTCTAATGATTGAGTGTGAGTGGGGGTTTGGAGAATGTGGCTCGGCATGAAGAACTGTCTGTACTCAAAGCAACCTGGGACAGAAACCACTGAAATGCATAACTTAGGAACAGCCCTGGTGTTATCACTAACAGCTTACTATTGCACCAAAATAAAAATGTTTTTCGTTATCAAGACTCAACAAACAATTGTCCTGAAACCAGGGGAGTCTCATGATGACCACCTACTAAGCAACAGGCTAGAGAGCTAAACCAGGTTTCAATTCCTCACTGCTGAACATGCAGACAGGCCTAGTCTTCTCTGTCACTGCACACTGAAGCCCCTGAACTTCAGACACTGCCGTCTGTTCTCACCTGCTTATCAGACTTGTTTTCATGGCAGCTTCTGGCCCTGTAAAAATAACTAATACTAAGTAATTCCCAGAGAATTATTTCCTGTGATTTTTCTTTTGTACATAACGATAAAATTTCATTAAGTCTCTCAGTCTGTATCAAGTGCTCAGTCAATACTCTAGGATCTGAGGATACAGCTCTGCATAAAACACACACACACTGGCCAATAGCTGTCTCCCTGTACTTGGGGAATGAAGGAACCACTTGGTATGATGCTTATAAAGCAAAGGATGCTACATAAGGACTGCCACAAGCACTCATAGGAGACCAATTCTGGTGGCTGAAATAAAAAGTAGCCTCTTCATGATACATTACTCCAGTTTTCATTTAGTGAAAAACAATGACTCGCTTTCTAAAGAGCAGCGCTGATATGAAAACCTTTGTAGATGACATCTGTACAAAGTGAAGCACCTTCTACCTTCCTGGTTGATACAGATTAATGCAGCTGGACACCAGCCTGACATGCTGTGCCTAGGAGTGTGAGCCTGACTCTGCCTGGAATGCAGTCTTCATGCTCCTGGAGACACAATCTGATGAAAGCAGGACGTCATCCCACAAAGCAGGGTCTCACTTCAGGTCAGGAAACAAAACTGTTGGAGCTTGCTGGGCTGCATTTCCAGAAAAAGGGCACCACAGAAGATCCAAAAGCGGGTGGTGTGCACCAAGCAGCAGCAACGTCTCCATCATCTCACGGCTGCCCCGCCTTCTGGGGACAGGCTCTTCCCTTCAGAGTCAAGGGCTCAAAGCAAGGTGCTGAGTACTGGAAGCAGGGGATGGAGGTGTTGGGAAATTTAATTACAATGTGTGAAGCCAAACAGTCTATGGCTTAAAGATACTCCAGAAGTGTGAAGAATAATGATTGCTTTTTGAGAACTCTCATTTCCCAAGAATGAACAAGTCTGGGGAACGATGAACTACTTTGTTTTTTGTTTTTTTTTCTTTTTAATATTTTTGTCAAGTCTTTTTTGCTGCAAGGCTTCCAAAGTTTTTGCCAGCAAACTTATACCTTTACCTAAAGAAAGATTCCTCTTGGGATAGTCATCTGACCAGAATGATGACTTCCTTGACCATGGAGAAAACTATCATTTGGATCTGTGATGAAAGTGCCATCTGTTAGATCTAATGCCACACTTGGTGACAGAATTTTTTTTTTTTTAACTCAGGAAGGCTTCTATGAAATCCTGTCTGATTAAACAAGCAAGGACAAGGCATAGGCTGAAAATGAACCTGAGGTCCCTGCTCTTTAAGAGCTCAAAGTCTTATTTAGGGGGATGTGGGATCCACTACAGAGACAGGCCAACATAACTTTATCACAAAGCAAATTGGGGCAAGTGTTACTGCAGATTAACCCAGCTGGAGGTCCAGAGCAGGTTGGCTAGGAGGATCTGGGCTGCTCCTTGAAAGAGGAGCAGGACTTGCAGAAGATGATAGAAAGAGCATTCGAGGTAGAAGGAGTAGATGAGTGGAGGTATACAGGTGTATTCAGGGAGAAGAAAAGAGGATGGTCAGATGGGACTGAAGGAGAAGGAAGGAGGAAATAAAGGGTCTAGACTTGCAATAAACATGAAGAGCCACAAACAGATTCAGCACATCCAATGGAAAAAATATTTGTAACATTTTTTTTTTGGCCAGGGAGGGGGTACAAAGATACCTTAAGTGTCTAACGATGCTGGCTGAGGTGATGAAATGGAGGATTCTAACACTAATTTGGGAGAAAACTTGGCCAAAGGAACCATTTGGAACTATATTGCTTTCAGCTTGCTTTTAATTTTTCTGCCTTTCTGCGTCACATCACGTGGATCCTCACCATTCTTCCTAATAACCACACTTGCTGTTGTACACCAGTGTGCGGCAAGCCAGAATCCTCTTCTGAAGGGTGGTGAGTAGTAGTACAGGAACAATACCCTGGTGTCGCCTAACGACAAGAATATGCGGGGAAAAGCTGGTGCTTCCCATCACCCTGTCACTCATTTCCTCTGCTATACTTTTCTTGGACTCAAACTATGCAGCAAGAGACCCAGGGACACAGAGAGCAGCTGTGCACCCTGACAAGTCCTCTGCAGTTTTTTTTTGACATCACAGCATTTACACAATTCCAAGTGTGCATGCTGCTTGCTGTTAAACGTATAAACTGGCAGTCACTCTCTGATGTTAGTTTGGCACGTAAGTGGAATCCCAAACACAAACGGCCATCAGGACCAGGATCGCATTAGGTACTGGTGTTAGTACCGAGCTCCCAGGTTAAAGGCAGGCTTGGGGCCAGCGCCTCACAGTCATGGTAACTTAAAAACTTTCCTCCCACAGACCAACTGTAACAGAATCATTTGTTAGCATCCGGTGCAGCATACCTCAAACTCCAGATAGTGGTCTTTCAGCTTGTACTCGTCGACCTCCTTGGCCTTGACTTTCTTGTCAGGGGGATAGGAGCGGTGCTCAGCCAGCTCAGTGGTGATCTGCTTCAGCTTGCCTTCATGAGATTTCAGTTGTTCCTCCTGGCAGGAAATTATTGAGCCATTTAGTGCACAGAGAAGAAATCAATTAAAAAAAATGTGTAGAGTGCCTTTAAAAATCCCTTATGGTGACTAACTTTCATTTACCAGAACAGTCTAAGGTGCCTCAGCAGGAGGCACATCCTTCCAACTCGCCAGTGTTGGTGTAATTCTTCCCAGGATGGCAACCCAGGCCATCCTAACTGGGCCTCCCCAACCAGGCCTCTGATTACAAAACCAAATGGCTTCAGAGCCTGCTAAGGAATTCAATGTCACCAAGCTGCGACAAGACCTTTAAAGAGAAACCAGATTAGGCAAGTCACCATATGAACAGCTAAGTGCCTTGCCTGGGCACCACATAACTTGGCTTCTCAAGTATGCCCGCTCAGCAATAACTGCCTGAGCGCCCGTCTTTCGGAGTGAATGAGCGTCTGTCTGCAAATTTCTTTCTTTTTTTGAGATAAGCAGTACTGCAAAGAAATACTTCTTCTCTAAAATTTATCATATGCTATTCTAAAAAATGTGCTATGCTTTCTCCCTCCAAAGTAGCAGAGGGTCTCTCACTTCCTTCAACTTCACTGACCTGAACTAATCATTCAATTAAAATGCACTCATTGACTGCTGCCTGAACAGCATAATTATAGGTTCCATCTGCCAAGGTAATATGGTTGGTCCTGTGTCAAAGAACTTCCATTCTAGGGGTGCCATTTATACCTCCTTGGCAATAGTGACCTAAAAAAATATGATACTGAATCCTCTTGCAGAATTTTAAAAATAGTCTTGAGACAAAGACATTGGAATTCTCTTGAATTCCTAAAGTTGGGTGGCAGCTTACTATTCCACTTCCACATGTACATTATCCAAATTCTTGATTATAAATTTTATATGTATAAGAAACAAAAAGATAAATGCAAATGAAGAACTGATTAAAGGAGGCAATAAGCATGTTTTACATAACACCAACATAATTTTAGAATATAAAAGTTTTATTACAGAATGAGGGGAATAACTTAAAAGACTACCAGATAATTAATAATTATGAATGCCAAATTAAGGTTATATAACATCCTTGTAAATTTTTTGGAAGATATCCAGAAACTATAAAGTCACATATAATATCTTAGGGACTTCTGTAATAGTGCACATCTTAAAAGCCAAATAAGAAAAAAGAATTCAAGTCTAAAGCCATAAAAAATATTGATATATATTAAAAAAAGTAAAGTTTTGGGCTGGGGTTGTGGCTCAGCCATAGTGTGCTTGCCTAGCACATGTGAGGCCCTGGGTTTGATCCTCAGCACCCCATCAAAATAAATAAATAAAGATATTGTGTCCAACCAAAAAATAAATATTAAAAAAAGTAAAGTTTTAAAAAGCAGAGAACATTAGTGCAAAGATGAACAGAAGAGGTAGCAAGAACACATGGAGTGAAAGAAAGATGATAAGATTCATTTTTAAATGCGAACAAACATTCCAAGAAGACGAGATATGTGTGCACCGTGGTCACTAAAACATTATTCACAATAGCTAAGATATGGTCACAACCTAAGTGACCCACAACAGATGTGTGGATAATGAAAATATGATATGTATACAAAATGGAATACTACTTAGCCTTTAAAAAGAAGGAAATTCTGTCCTACATCACAGCATGGATGAACCTGGAGGAAATTATGTAAGGTGAAGGAAGCTAGGTACGGAAAGACAAATGCCGTACCATCTCACTTATATGTGAAATACATAAGAAAAAATCAAGCTTTTAGCTGTAGAAAGCAGAATGGTGGTGACAAAAGATGGAGGGACAAGGAGATTGGGGAGATACTGGTCAAAGAATACAGAATTTCAATTAGAATGAGTTCCAGAATTCTTTTGTATATCATGGTGACTACAGTTAATAATAATAATAACGTGTTATATATTTCAAAATTGCTGAGATGGGTGTGATGGCACAGGCTATGATCCCAGTGACTCAGGAGACTGAGGCAGGAGGATCACAAGTTGAAGGCCAGCCTCAGCAACTTAGTGAGGCCCTAAGCCACATAGTGAGACCCTGTGTCAAAATACAAAAATAAAGAGAGTTGGGGATATAGCTTGGTGGTTCAGCACCCCTGGGTTCAATCCCCAATACCAATAAATAAATAAATATAAAATTGTTAAAAGGTTTCAAATGTTCTCATCAGAAAAAAATCAGTACATGACTTGACAGACACGTTAATTAGCTTGACTCAACTGCTCCACCATGGACACACGTCACACTATATCCCACAAACACCTACCTTTGCACCTTCTTTTACACAGAGTCCGAGGAATTGGAAGCCTCCTAAAGGAGACCCTGGCCACTGCCCTTTAGAATGAAACAGGGATCCAGAGAACTCAAGCACCTGCTCCAGGCCACCGACACAGCAGGAGTGCATCCTCCCAACTTCTAATCTTAAATTCACTTGGGGACCCTTTCTTAAACACACACCCAAGCTTCAAAACCTTCTGCTTCTCAGTGTGCTGGTGCTGAGCTCAGCACCCTCAGAGCTCCTCAGATCCCTCACCCCCCATGCCTCCTGCCACAGCTCTCCAGCTTGCGGGCTACACGCAGGTCTTACGCACCCTGCATGCTCCAGATCTTGCAATCTCTTTCCAGTTACTGCAGCATTGAATGTGTATGCCACCTATTTGCCACAAAACTCACTCTGACCTAAGTGTGAATTTTACCTCCTTGACTGAGTACAAACTCCAAGAAGGCAAAATAAGGAGGATCATTTTCCCTTTTCCTTTAATCTTCCAGTGTCTAGCAAGGAACTCAGCAGAGACAACAGTACATGGCACTAACAAAGACCTTATGCTTCTACACTGGGAGCTGAGACCACTGTCGCACCCATTTCTACAAAGCTCACTGGACCTATCCCTCAGTAAACAGTAGCTGAATACATGGATTAAAGAAAGAGGGTGCTCATATTATTTTTTCTGTGTTTTCAAGGAGAAAGATGATTTAGAAGGCAGTGCAAATTACAAGTAAAATCTGTAATGCTTGAGCTCTATTAAACCCAAGAGGTAAGGATTTTAGAATAAAGAACATTTGCCAATGAGTCCATTTGAGAGAGAGATTGCTGAAAACACCATCGCTAAGGATTTTCTTTAATCATTTCAGGTTTAACGCACTTTAAAGACCTTAAACACAGTGTCCTTAAACACACTTCCACATGATTCAACTAACTGTCTTACTGAATGTTTAATGTATATTAAACACAGACTCTAAGAAATGAATAAGAAATCTAGCTACTCAGGAATAGTGTGGTCACCAAGCAAGGTCATGCCAAGGAGCCTGGACTGTATCTTCCTGGCACAAGCGAGTACATTAAGGAAGTGCCATAGTTGGACCTGTTTTCATCAACACTGGGAAGGGTGGCCTGGAGGAGAGCACCTCAGGAAGGCGACTTCATGAGGTACAAGTATCCAGAGGAGCAGCGCAGACTAAGGGAGGCAGAAACTGAGTGGAGGGAGAGGGACCTCAGGTGGCTAGACAAATAGTCCTGGCCAGAGTTTTATGAAGTGGGGCGTGTACAGCTTGCCAAAATGACCCAATGGGGAGAGTTTTAAAAATCAGTATTGAGATACAATTTTAAATTTTTATAAAAACCGTTGTATCCCATAACTGTGCTGAATTTGATTACAAGTTCTGTAAGTTTTTAAATGGAGTTCTTAGGCATTGGGAACAGTTTTTTAATTATTTTTTAAACTCTAAGCACTGTGAAATGCTACTATCTGGGACATGTGGTATATTTTATTTAAAAATACACATCTCTCAAATATTTAGTATTGATAAAGTGAATGATTAAAAAAGAAAACCAGTGACATAGGTCTAAGATGACAAAAGCTTAAAGTAAGGAAAGTCGGGGAGGATGTGAAAGATATTTAAGAGGTAAAGGGACAGGGCTTGGTGATGAGGTGTGACACAGGTTGGGGTACAGGGGTGCAGTTCTGGCCAATGAGGGAGGCGTCTGTAAGAGCACAGGCTCCCAAAGCCTGCCCCTGTGCTCCTCCTCAGCACTACCTGAGGTCCAGCACAGGACAGGAGGAGGGGTGGGGTTACTTCCCTGTGAGGGGCGAGCACAGGACCCACTTTGTTTCTGAACAGTGTTCTCTCTTGACCTGAACCCAAAGAGTTAATACTGAGTTCATTGGTTCAAACTTTTGTAAGAGAACAGCTGGAGTTCAAAGAAATTGGAACTAGGTATCCATTAGGAAGGTGACTTCATGAGGTACAAGTGTCTAGAGGAGCAGCACAGACCTAAGGGAGGCAGAAACTGACGGTGTCGTGTGCCTCAGTGTGATCTGCACCGTCTGCTGGTCAGTCATCTGGAGCGTATTAGAGAGAAACAGCAAATTTCCAGGCATCAGGCTGCATCTGAACCACCTGGCGGGATATTATACTGCCCCCAGATAATTCTTATGAATGCTCCAGCTTGAAAATGTCTGTTTTGGTGGGTATAAAAGTGGCCCTGAATAGATCCCAGAGGGGGCTAATCATAATTCTGTGTTTCTAGAAGGAGGAAGAAAAAATCTTAGAGTTTTCAGATTAGTTTCTCCACCCTCAACAGAAGAAGAAAAAAATGTGCTTTGGCAACACTGCCATGAAAAACAACCAGAGAAGGTGACTCCTACACAGCGGAATTGTTCAGGAAGAACCATACTGCACTGACAATAATCAATTTTAATAATTGAGGCTAATATGTTTTGGATAGCAGACAAGAATAAATTAAAGAGAAACTCATAAATGACAGGGTGATGAACAACATGTCTTCAAAGAACCAAACAATCTTTTAATTGAAAGTTGGATTTTTTTCCTGAACACTGTCCCCCACCCACCCACCCACCCAGCAGGGTACTCACAGTGCTGTAACATATATTTTATAAATGGAAACTACCCAAGAGGTCCTGGCATTTGGGGGAATCATGGCCAGCCTGTGAGGGCATGGAGAAAGGAAAGGTGGCCAGTCTCACAGATGCAGGACCACTGGGTCAATGCAGTGGTTCTCAGTGGGAGCGGGTAGCTTTGACCCCAGAGGACATTTGGCAAGGTCTGGAGACATTTCTGGTTATTAAAATTAGTGGAGATGCAGTTGCCATCTACTGGGTGGATGCTGGGGACACTACTAAACACCCTGCAGTTCATAGGACAGCTTCACACAATAAACAATTATCTGGGCCAAAACATCAACAGTGCCGAGAGTGAGGGTGACCAGGCTGAAGGAGAGAACAGTCTGTGAAGTGCTAGAGAGAGGAGGGACGCTTGCTTCAGGACACGCTGGAGGTGTGCTGGGACTCTGCACAGACATCTGCAAGAGTGTCCACTGATGTGGAGGGCACACCACTCCCCTGCGCCAGCTGCATGCCAACTCACCTCTCTTTAGCACCGCTAATCACCACACGCGTGGTTTTACACTGTGCTTCCCATACTGTCCTGTTACTCTCAGAGGTGAAACATCTTTTTAAAAAAATTGTTAGTACATGAAATGATGACCTGGGTGAGGAAATGATATGGAAACCTTAAACCTTAAACACATTCTAGATCTCCTCCTTTCCAGATGGAAGTCTTGGTGATTTAACCGGTGGTGGCAGGGAGATATTCATCACATCCCTTTCTCTAGAAGTCCCTAAACAGCACAGCTGTCTTGTCTGAGGTGACAATGGTGGATGCTTCTCTTTGCTATTGCTTTCCTACCTAAAATTCAATCACTGATCACTAAACATGTGCTCCCCCCACCTTTGTTTGTATCTCTGGGGATGCACATCCAAAATGAAGAAAAATATTTTTAAGATTATGCATTCTATTTTTTGTAAAACACTGTTTTTTTTTTTTTTTTTAAAAAGAGTCTGCTTTGATAAAGGTGCTTGTTGCCCGTTTTCCAGGCAGAAGCACACATAGAGATGAACACATTTCCACATGCATGTGTCTTACTGGGAGACAGCTCATATACAAATAGGACAGCAGGGCCTTTTGAAAAATAGGAAGAAAATAAAACAGTACATTCTATAGTGAGAGAAGAACAAGGAAGAACTCTGATGTTGCTCTAAGCTCCATAATGTTCCTGAGAGTGACACACTTATTAAAGCCCCTCTTTACCTCAGTCACTTTCTTTCCTGCTGTTTTCACAGAATAAATCGTGAGATTTATTAAAAATGATCTATTAAAAAATGATCACTATTGCAAAGTCCCACACTGAAGTGAATGAACAAAACTCAACATCTGAAGACATTTTTTTGCTTCCCATTTTCTCCTCCTAACTTCATAGAATATGGTTTGCTATTCATGTGCTCTGCCTGTGACTGTTTATGTGATATGTTGCTGAGTACCCAGATTTAAATTTGGGAAAGGATTTGCCTTTTGGGTTTGTACTTCAGTTGGACAGACGGAGAATCTGGCCAACATTCTTTCTGGTCATCAGTAAACGCTGCCTCCTTTCTCTTAGAATGCTGTAACTATTATCTTTGAAAACTAAATGCCTTTCTGTCCTGTGAGTTGAGCTGGCTTGGTCCTTTCTACTCTCAAAACCGTGTTTTGGGTCACATGGGAACTATATAATCATAATAATGCTTATGTAATAACCAACCAGTACATGTTAATGATAATTATGAATGAGGGTGGAAAACACAAGAGTCTTTTTCCAGAAGCCATGTGTCTCTCTTCTTACTACTAGTCTTTCTGATTTTTGTAATTTATGGCAAGACTAGCGCATGTTCTCTTCCTTCACCTACTCACTATCTTCTGTCCCTCTCTCAAAGACGACCAGTATGGTCTGTTTCTATCAGTCCACCAAAACCGCTCTTGCCAAGTTTACCCAAGGACCTCACTGCAATCTACTATCAGCTAGGTTTTGTCTTTATTTTACCTAATCTTCTCCTTCTTAGCATAACATCCTCCATGTTTGGTTATTTTAACCTAAATAACTTTTCTTAAAAGTTATTTCTCAGGTATCTCAGTCTGCTTCTGAGCCTAAGGGCTACATCACTTACAGAAAGAAAGAAGAAAAGGATTCAGGAAAAGACTCTGAAAGAAACAACAGGGAGGAAAGCAGGAGCTGGTGAGGAGAGGTTCCTCGAGCCAGGTCAGACACTGCAGTCCTGGGCGACGCCCTTCTTCCTCCACTTTGGCCATGAGAACATCTGTTCTGTACTCTCATGAACTTCCACTCTACCAATTTCTTTGACAACTAACTTAGCTATTTCTCCTCTAGGTTACTAGATGGTCCTTGGGGGGGCCTTTCTGCTTCTCATAGTATCTTTCTTCTTCTAATGCTTTTATCATATGGCAATGGAATAATTTTTAAAGTGCAAATATGATTACATTACTTTTCTGCTTAAAAACTACTGTCCTAAAGACACCCAGGAACCACGGAAGCTTCCAAAATCATGCACATGACAAATAGGCCTGCAATGGTTTGAAAGTTCCCCCTAAAACTCATATTGAAGTTTACCTTCCAGACAGTATTGGAGGTGGGACCTTTCAGAGGTGATTAGGCCATGAGGGGCCACCCCCCGTTGAGAGTGGGTTAGTTATCATGGGAGCAGTCTGCTCTAAACCTGAGGCTGAGGGCTCGACTTTCATCTACTCATGCCCCTCACCAAGTCATGCCCTCGGTGACGTTAAGACTCTGCAAGAAGGCTTGATATCCGACTTCCCAGCCACTAGAACTGTAAGGAGGTAAATTAATTTTCTTTATAGCTTCCCCAGTCAGGGGTACTCTGTTATGGCAGAACGGCCTAAGACAAGCCTTTCATGATTTTGCCTACCTCCACAGAGGTCCACTTCTGACTTTTTCTCAAGACCACTCAGGTCATGTTGGTAACTTGGTGTGGCTCCTGCACCCCAGTGTCTCTCCTCTGGGCCTCTGTAGCTCTGCCGGATCACCCTGTTACCTCATCTCACACCTCACCTATTTTTCATCCTTTAAGCTTCATGGAATATATCACACCTCTTCTTCACCTCCAAGGCCACCCTAGCTGTCCTACCCTGTGCCCACATGGCCTCTGGACTTAACCCTTCCTGGGCAGCTCTCAAGTGCTTCATTTGTATTTGTCATCCTTCAGGAGAGGATCTGGGTTTCATCTGTCTTTCTAGATCCACAGCCTAAAACCATCTTTGCTATACAGTAGGGACATAATATATGTTTACTAAATAAATGTCATTGATAATTGTGCTATGAAGGAGGAGAACAACAGCTAGTTAATACCAAAGCATTCATTGATCGTAACCAGATTAAGTGATTTCTACTGTTACAGCAATAAGAGCTCCACAGAGACATCAAAGTAGCTCCAAAATCCTTGACTGATCAATGTCAACAGGGGTACTGCAGAGAGGGTTAAAATTGGCAGAGCCTCAGAACAGAGTTTTTATGAAAAGATGACAAAATTTGACAAATGTTTTCTTTTTTTAGAATTTTATGTAAATACATGTGGAACAGAGCTCTGATGCACTTTGTCTTAATTAGCTTAGAAAATGCAAATATTCCACTCACCTCTTCTAAGGGGTAAGGAAGGCCTTTCCTGCTCTACTGTGAAAAGGGGAATCCCTGAAAATGTTTTTTATATCTCTAGCACCAAATATGGTAAATGCTCAATTAAATGAACTAATAATCAATGGATGAAAAGCTTGCTAACAAGCCTGGACATCACCCCAGTTTTAGCCAGTTAAAAACAAAAACAAAACAAAACACAAACCAGGAAAGTATAACTCAAGTGTAAAATATACTGATATATTACATTTTGCCCCATTTATACAACATGGGGCAAGGTCTTCCATCTGCCTTCCAATAATGGAGAGCATTATTCAAATACAAATATTAGCAAAATTACAAAGGACTTTTTTCCATGTCCACAGTAACATCAAATGAGTTACCTGAGATAATTTTGTCGTAGTGGCAGGCAGAAGCGGGCGGCTAAACTTCTTCTGAGAACCAATGGCTGCTGGAAACGGTGGTGCAGAAAAGACAGCTGCAACACAGTTGATTTTGCTTATCCACCCCTGCATCTCCTCTGGACTCCTATGAGAAACAACCATGAATATGTCAGGCTATTCTGTGTCTAAGTGCATCACACCTTGCCCATTGCTTATTGCTGATATAAAATGGCATATGAAATCATTTATTCTTGGTACAATTAATCATTGACACAACCTCACTCGAGGTTAACAGTCTCAACAGCAATCACCAGGCAGTGGAAGGCACTGGAACCCTGAAACCTATCTATGGTCATCAAAGCCTATGACTATGCCCTGAGGATACAGACGGAAAAAAAGAGAAATGTATTCATTAAACTACTTTCTGTTGGAAACTAGCCTAGGCCAAAAGTTAATTAAAGATTTAATTAATCTCTTTTACTCACATAATTTTATTTTAAAATCTGACTGAAGCATACATTGATGAAGGGAATATAAAAGGGCATACCCACTTTGGAAAAGTTTGGTAGTTTCTTCAAAAGTTAACTATAAATTTATCATATACCACAGCAATTCCACTACTTTGTTGGTACCCAAGATAAATAAAACATAAAGCTACACAAAGATCCGAGTATCAATTTTCATGACTTCCTTATTCCTAAGAATCAAAAAGGGAAACAATCCAAGTGTCCATCAACTAGTGAGTGGATAAAACAGAGAGATATATCTATATAAACAGTATTCACCAAAAGGGTGAAATACTGATTCATGTTATACACAGCATGGATGAACCCCAAAACATGAAGTGAAAGAAGGCAGAAATAAAAGATCACAAGTTGTACGATTCTAATTACATGAGTAGTCCAGGAAACAATAGTACAGAGACAAAAAGTAGAATTAGCGGATGTCTGGGACTGGAGATGTGAATGCAGGGTGACTACAAAATAGGGCACTGCTCTGGAACGAAGGAATGTTGTAAAACTGGACCGTGGGGCCAGATGCACCATTCTGTACATTTAGTAAAAATTGTTAAAATATACGTTCAAAATGGGAGAAATTATGGTAGATAAAGTGGAGCTTAAGAATGCTAACAAATGTCCATCTGAGAGGAGGTGGAAATCATTTGATATCATATTTTTAATTCACATGCCATTATATCCAGAAAGCCCCTCACTGACAACACTTAATATCTGTGACTTCATAAATGAGGGAAAGAAATGGTCACGAAGCAGAAAAGATGATCCGCCATGCATATGTCCAACAAAGAGGTGAAATAATCATTTAATCACTTCCTTTACTGACTACTCCAAAAGAACCCCACTAACCTGAGACTGTGCTACATATTAATTCCTCAGTAGAGCCAATGTGTGTTTCTAGTTGAATCTCTCCAACTGACGAATTTTTGCATGGGTTTTACCTGAGTAACCAGATCTCCTTAGGTATTATATCAGATATAAAAAATACTAGAGAACAGAAGAATTTAAAATACCCTTTCCACCTAATAGCTGTTATTTACACATTTGGTTATGAGTCCCTTTGTAGGATGTCCTAGTCCCAAATTCAAAAACCCTGTGTCACTTGTTTTCACACAGCACCTCATGTCAGCAATTTTACTCCTTCACAAGTTCAATGACCATAAGCCTCCAGAGGTCTGGCTCTTGCTCTCATTTCTCTTTTTTTTCCTGATCTTACCTTGCCTTGATAAGGCATAGAGATAGATACTTGTACCATCTTGATGTCAAACTTGAATTTAGTTGGGGTCAGCTGATGATATGATGTTGAAGGTGATTCTAGAGTTAGGCTCAATCCACGAATCATTAACCCTGTCCTGCTCTAGAAGCTCCATTCTGAAAACCCAAAGTTCCTCACTCCACAAGTCCAGGATTCTTCAAGTGGAATGCTCTGCTACTAATCTCAAGTCTGTCACTGGCCCTCTCATTTCCTTATGCACAATATGATTTGCGTTCCAAAGGAAAAAGAAACAAGGGAACAGGATGAAGATATTCATTTACAGAGCAGTTTCTCCACACCAGGCAACCTGGGAGGCACTTAATATACTTATCGAATCCTCGCCAGGACCCAATGAGACAAACATGATTACCCACAGCAGCTACACACCAAGGTTCACAGAGGTTAAAAAATTATGTGCCTCAAGCTAGGAAATGGTGATTTGAATCTTGGACTACTTTACTCATGTTATGAGAGAACTTGTCTACTAAAACTCTCACATCTTATTAATGAGGACACTGAGCTCTAGAGATGGCAAAGAGCTTACTAAAAGACACAGAGCTACTTTATAGTGCACAAAAAACCAGAACTCAGGGCTCTATGTTTTTGTGTTAATTTTCTTAGGCAGTTGTCTTCCCCAACGAAACCAGTTCATGACATTTGACTACAACTCAACAAATTTCTCCTCCAGACCCTGATTCTATTCCTTAGCATAAAGCAGTGGTAAGCAAACTGAAGAAAACCAAAACGAAGTCAGGTGTGGTGGCTCATGCCTGTAATCCCAGTGGCTTGGGAGGATGAGGTAGGAGGATCTCAAGTGCAAACCAGCCTTAGCAATGGCGAGGTGCTATGCAACTCAGTGAGAACCTGTCTCTAAATAAAATACAAAACAGGGCTAGGGATGTGGCTCAGTGGTTGAGTGCCCCTGAGTTCAATCACTAGTACCCTAAAAAAACCCAAACCCAAACCAAACCAAACCCCAAACCAAGTAAGAACCAAACCAACGACACATACTGAGTTTGAAACAGCAAGACCCTCCAGTCGGCAGTTTTTAGCTTAAAGACGTTGGGCTTCTTCTCGTAGTCAGTGGCCTTGGATGCCAGGGCGTGATGCACACTCACGGCATTTTTCAAGTCCTCCTCGGACAAGGCCTTTTCTGGCTTATATTCATCCTACAGATAGGCACAGAGAAAGCAAAGACAAGAGTGTGAGATGAGATTCTCTTTTTAAAACCTAATGGTAAAAAATTTTAAAGTCCATAAAAGTGCATGAAAAAAAGTGAAATGAACGATGAGTAAGAATTTGCAACTTCATAAAAGTCAAAGGGTATCACAATGTTCCAAACATTTGCTACCAATGAGTACCTAAGAGGCATTAAAAAAAATTCTGAAATATGATAATTGAGGCAGAGAGGTAAGGAAGGGCTATCTATCACCTGCATTTTAAAGTCATGTGAAATGAGGCTAGATTTGATAGTTACTGTGAACTGGCTTTGAGTTTAGATGGTTAAATGCAAAAGTGGGAAGAAATCCATCAACACAATTATAAAGGAAAGTGGAAACATAGCCACTGTGTTCTTTGCTCTAAAAGACACTACATTTTCCTGCTGCTTTCTTTTCTGGGGCTTAATATTACCAGAAGAAAAATGAAAAGTAAGTAAAATAAAAATGACATGATCCAGCTCTTCTGTTGAAAGTAAAAAATCAATTTAATAAACAAGAGAAAGCTTAGCTCAATTGCCATACTTTTTTTTTTTTTTTTGAAAAGTCAACATTACATAAGAAGGCAGGGGATACACAAATGCAATTTTATTTCTGGACATCAAATGCATAATTCGTAGAATTTAAAAAGGGTCAGTGTGGAATCCCTTAAAAATATCAACAACAGAAAACTCCAAAAATTGTGCTCTATATGTGTAATAAGAATTGTAATGCATTCCACTGTTGTGTATTTACAAAAAATAATAAAAATCAATAAAAAACCCCAGAAAACTCCAATTAGTAGAATTAGAATTTAAAACAAGTTTGTTACTACCTATATATTGCATATGCTATGAATTGTTACAGGAGACTGACATCCAGAGTTCAAGGCCCCTCCTCCCATATCTTATAAAAAATGTTGAATAAACTTGTATTTCTCCTATAAAGAAAACACACTCACACACTTGTGACCCCCATTTAATTCACAGGAAAAGCCTAAGGGAAGATTATTCTCTTACTGGTTTCACAAAATTTCAGAAAAACAATTAAAATCTCTCTAGTCATGATCCCTATATCATACACAAATCAAGCAATTCAAATGTACTAAGGTTGCTAATTCAAACCGAAGTTTTATTTTTATTACATGAATGATCAGTGTCAGAGGCAGTCCTGGAAGGCAAAGGTTTTCTGTTTAAAATACAAAGCAAATACCAGTAGCAATATAAAGATTACCCAAACTTATAACACTACATGACAATGTTTCCACCTTGGGATTGGTTTTATTTTGTTATGCCTCAGAAGTTGCAAACTGCTGTTGACACTGCCAGTCTTCTAGAAAGATAAGATAAACGAGAAAAGGAAAATACAATAATAAGTACAGGAGGTTTACATGTTCTCTGTTCTTACATAATTACTGCTAATTCACACAATTACGATCTAGTTATGATTTGAAGTCTTTCTTGTTCTTTTAAAAAGGGGTCCCTGCCCCTCACCCCCCGCACCCTGGTGATTTAGCATTCCCAAGACCCATGACTCTGCTTCCAGGGGGATTTTTATTAGAGCTGGAGTTTGAAGACGAGGTGCATGATTACAAAATCTGCTCCTGTCTCAGGATGACGCCATGAACAAAACCCTGCCCCTGCCTGTCTGGTCCACTGCCCAATGTGAACACTTAGTTTCTAGACAGGAATCTGAGGCAGATAAATAATGGGAAGGGAAGAAACGACCAGGGTCAAAGTGACCTTCAGAGAATTAGTATGCTGCCTCCATTTCCACACGTGCTGATCTGCTAACAGCTGATATTTCAGTTTGCACAGCGAGTAACCTAAAAATGTATGTGTGCCCTTTGTGCTATTCTAGGTCAATGAACTGGGCTTTTATCTTAATTCCTCTTCTCTACTTTTTAGTTGTTGTTGTCCGACTTTCTTAAGATGACTATTTAGCTACTTTGTTCTTCATATTTCTTTAAGAAAGAATTTAAGGTTATGTTTTTTTCTTTGAGTATGAGTCATAGTGTGTAATGGTTTGGAAATAAAAAGCAGTTTTTTATTGCTTTCTAGATAGTCTGTAGTTTTAACTTTTTAAATCTCTCCTTTAATCTTAATAGTATCAAGAAATGTGGTTCTCACATTTAAGGCACTTAAAATTTTAGTTATTTATCATTATAGAGTTCTAAGTTTATGGCTTGTGACCAGAGAATGTGATCTACAAAAGGTATATTTCCCCCGAAATTTATTACAGGTATCTACATGTTAACTTTTTCTTAACGTTCCATGGGTATGCTAAAAGCTTATTATTTGAGGGATGAATATTTATATTCAACTTTACTGACTCAATTCTACTATGTCCTTGCATTTTTTTTTTTGCCAGTTCACCCCTTGATACAAGTATACTGATCATGTCTACTGTTGGATTTCAAGTTCTCCTTATGTCTTTTCTAAAAATTTTATGCATTCTAATTTGTTATGACAGCAGAAAGCAATTCAATTCACATTACACAATTAGAGCATAATTTTTCATGTCTCTGGTTATACACAGAGTCACACCATTTGTGTTTTCATACGTGTACTTAGGGTAATGATGTCCATCTCATTCCACCATCTTTTCTGCCCCCATCAAGTTCTCCTTGTGTTTTGAACAGCACTTGTTTTACACTTTAGTTACTATGTTTTTTGGTGCATTTGGGTTTATAATTATTACTTTCCTCATAACTATGTGTTATCATTTTAAAATATTCTTCATCCTGTTCAGTGCTTAATCTTATATGATGAAAACTTATAAGAATCTCTCCCATAAAAATGCTCTATTTCTTTATTCCTTGCACATTTCTAAATAGATTTTGAAAGACATTTTCAAACCATCTCCCTCTTCCTCATTAATCCTAATGTTTGCCAAAGCTGTTTAGTACATTTGTTCTGCAGTCTTACTAAAATTATCTTGTATTATGCACTTTGTTTCAAAAGACTTATTTTGTACTTACATTACACATTCCCTGTCTCTCCTATTCCCTTATTCTTCTAGATTTAATTGTGTCCATGTTTCCTGCTCATCTGCTTACTTTTTTTTTTTCCATTCTGACATCTCCATTCTAATCCCTTATTATTTTCTCTTCTCTCAAGTATTTGCTTCAGGTGGGTAATGTGCTTTTCAATCTTCTCAAATCTTTCATTTTCTCTGACAGGACAGAATTGTGTATGGAACTCGTGCTTGCAATCCTTGCTACTCATGTCACATATAGTCTGGAGATGCTATTCTATTTCATCTAGCTTCCAATTTTACAGAAGGCCAATGCTGCTCTGATTCTTATTTTCCCTTTCTTATCCCTTCCTTTTTGTTTGGAATCTCAGAGTCTTCCATTCATACTTAGAATTCAGGAATTTCGGCTAGGACAGGCCTTAATTTTCTCATCTATCCAGTCTAAACCTGGAAAACTCCACCCTGATTCTCTCCTATGTGAACTGCTGGGAGAGGTAATGAACAACTGTGCAGACTTCCTAGCAACACGTGGGGTTCCAGCTTGCGCTGCACTCAGTGCCAACTGGTAATTCTTCTACACATCCACGATCATCTCTCCGATTTCCACAACACCCTAATTCACCACAAGTGTGGTTAAGAGCTCGAGTATCTGGAGTTAAAACCACTATGTTCAAAGATCTCGTTCTAAATTTCTCTGTGCCAGATTTAACTCGTTAAGCTCCAGTGTCCTTTTATTAAGAAGTAGTGACAATACCTTTAGAAATAGAGTTGTATTAAACAATACTGTTTTCTGAATTAATTATGTTCAGAGCATAAATATGTTCTCAAAAATGCTAATGTAATTATTAAGAGTAATGTTTTTTAGTAGCATATCATTTCACCTTGTATTTTCTTTTGGTGTGTGTGGTGCTGGGGATTGAGCCCAGAGTCTCTCACATGCTAGAAAGGTGCTCTGCCACTAAGCTGCACTGGCACTGGGTCTAGCTCTATCACTGAACTAATGCAATTGAGACAGCAAGCTAAGTTGCTGAAGCTAGTCTTGAACTTGTGATTCTACAGTCTCAGTCTCCCAATAGCTGGGATTACAGGCATGTGCTTACCATGCCTGAAAAAAAATCTGTAAATATCAAACTTTGTGCTGCGCCTGTATACTGTAAAGGTACCTATATTTGACCTTATTTATCTTCTCTTCTCCAATAACAGAAGAACCTTTTGCTCTCAGTTCAATCTCCAATAAGCTTTCCTAGGATCCTGTTTCATTGCCTCTTATTGTTCTTCTATACTTTTAACCATTCTTTATCTACTGGTTTCTTCCTGCAGTCTATAAATACACATAATTTCTTTGTTATCTCGAGGAGAGCCCCTCCCACTACTGCTTTCTGTGCTGGTTGCCATTCCTCTCTCATCCTTTTCACCTGGCGTCACAGTTCATACTGTTTTTATACACTGGTTTCCAGTTTATGCTGGAGTCCACCTCTATGCTTTAATGAAACTGTTCTGACAAAGGTCAGCAATAACCTTCTAGTGTAAAATTCAATTGACTCCTTTCTGGTTTCATCTGGTGGCACCCTAAGAAGTCAATTCTTCCTTGGCTTATCATTATAAAATTCACCTGGCTTCTCTCCTCCCTCTCATTACTTTGCTCTTTCCTCTTCAGTCTGCTATTCACATGTTCCCCTTGGGATGTTCACAACTACTTCTATAGTCTCATCTCCTTCTTACATGTTTATCAAATCACAGTGGATAATAAGAAACACAAGACCAACTGGTACCTATTAATACTGAGTGACTTAGACCGTAGCACTTTGGAACCATTCACTATGAATATTCTTGGAGCATATATATTCTCTTTGCTATTTTCATTTAAAATCAAGCTTAAAGGATGACATTCTTAGACTGCTCTAAAACTGCAAATTTTATAAAATGCTATATTTATTATGGACCTAAGTAAAAGAAAATAAAAATAGTCCCTTTTTGCTGTGGTTTGAATATGGTTT